TGAGTGCACGAGACACATCTCTTGACAAAACTTGCGGTGATGTCTAAATATTGTAATTGTAATGAAACGTTTATGGGTGCAAATAGATCATTTAAGTGCCTGTCAGAGCAAAATAAACCCCCACATTTATTTTTTTAAATGTAGGTATTTTTACACCCCTATCGACATAATTTAGATCATTTTGGAGGCAGGTTTTCGCCCTTGCTTATCAAAGCCAGCCTGTGGGTGGTTGGCGGGTGCTCTTGGGTGGTTTGTTCCTTCTTTCTTATCAAACATCTATCGTCCTGATCTCTCCTCCTTTTTTATGCTTGTTACTCTCTTGTAACACCTCTAATCTTCGGCACCTTTATGACCTTGTCGTGTTGCAAATGCTGTAAAACTCTTTTACTAAAACTAAAGAGCCAGCCTGAGAGGGAAGCATCCCAGGAGAAAGACCCATAGTCTGCTTGCGACAGCGAAGTGACTTACCCCTCCACCACAGACGCCGGCCTGCCAAAAGCTGTTTGAGGGGGAACAGCGGTCGAGCAAGAAAACGAGGATACTATATGAAAAAGACCTGACTATTAATGTACATCGAACATGTTTTATGCAAACATGAGCCCAATTGATACTCAACAGGCGCTGGTCTGTCCTGATTCTAGTTGGGTTTTTTTCTTTTTAAGTAAGAGTTTTACCGCTCTTGCAACCCAATAAGGTCAAACAAGTGTTGATGATTAGCAATGTTACTGGAGAGTAACAAACACAAAAGAGGAGGAGAGATACGGACGACAGATAGGAAAAATAGGAGCAAATTATACCAGAGCACCCGCCCAAATATAATTAGCCTGTCATTATCAGGGTTGTTGATTTATTTTAAAAGTTAACCCCCCCCCCCCCCACACACACACACACATTGACTTTGTTGATTAAAATGAACGATTTGACATTCTAAAAGAGCTGTTATGAAGTCTTGGTTTCATTTTTTTTAATTCTGTTTTTTTGCTATGTTTGTTTGCGCGTTTGCTATTGTTGTTCTCCCCCCCCCCACCACCCCCACCCCCCACACACACACTTTTATTCTACATTTTTGATTTTATGGAGGAGGGGTTGCTTATCTATGAATAAATGCCTTGTATTAGTCTGTTATAGTTAATAATGGTAACTGTATAGGTTTAATCCCCTTTCCAGCAGTGTAAGTTTAATTCAAAAAGCAGAATTTGACGCCTATCGTCTTAGACCGAGTTAGGCTGACTAAGAGCATTGGAAACTCCCTAGACAACACACGTTCAGTACGTCCCCTTGTATGTTTCAACAAGTGTCATCTGCACCATAGGAATGTTCTATTGGATTAAACTCATTGAGGATTTTCTTTTCTTTTTCAGTTCACGACAGCCCACAGTCCTTTGGATGAAGGGACGTCATTATGCAAAACACAAACTTTAGTATGATGAGTTCGTTTATTGTTGGTTGTTGATTTTTCTTGTCCTCATTGACAGTTGTGTCCGATTTAAATCCTTGTAATGCCATGTTTGTTGGTTTCTCTCCATGTAAACAACTATTCTAAACATTTTGACAAACAGGATACCTGCGGATTTATTGTGATATTGACTCTAAATCTATTTTCATCCAGAGATTGTGGACTACAAAATGGACCTCTCCTTTGTTTAAGATGCTATGAAGTGTGTGATGAATAAACTGGAGGCGACCTCAATATTGATTCGAGTAGGATATTATGTCACGGAATGCCATGGCTCATATTAAAGGAGTAGGAGCAAAGATCGGAGTTAGAGAAACACTCTACAAAAAATGAAGTAATGCGTTTTCATTATCGCTGGTTGCAACATCCATGTCAGCGCTAGTGACTGTCGAGGGCGTTCTTAGAGAGTTGGCCGTCATGTAATATACAATCTTTGTTTCATCTATAACAATTAATTCCCATGCGAGAAGGGCTGTGCCTTAGGCGATATCCATTATGAGGCATATTGATTTTTACGTTTTGCGGGTTGGTGCTTCAGGTTCAACTGGTTTATTTGGTGTTGGCCATAGTTATCGTAGATATGTCACGTCTAGCAATGCTACTCATTGCCAGAGCAAACTATGATTAGGAAGAAAAAGGGTAATTGTAGTGAACACATTACTCTGATAATTTTGTCTAAACTTTTCAGGAGACGGTCGTAAGGAAAACTCTTTATCGTCACACGCATCATCCCTGTCCCATTCAAAACTGCACCAACAAATTATAACCATAAATTGCATTTATTGACTAGAAACATTGATATCGACTAAGGCACTATCGTAACTCGTATACCTTTGTAAAACTTTATGCCGTTGCATGCACTCAAGTGACATAAATTCTCGCTACCTGACAGTGCACCTGGTTATCATTTTCCATTTTTTCATATATGAAATAACCATTTTTGCGATCCACAGCAGGGTTCAATGCACTGTAAATAGGACCTTCGGCTGTGGTATTAGCCCCTTGTTCATAGCATTCCTTAACATTACAACTCCTGTACTTCTAGTGATTCTTTGTACTCTAAACTGTCTACGGGTTTTTTCATTCAATCTGTGTTTCATTTTGATTTCCTTTGACTGAACAGATATAGCTGTAGTTAGACATTCCAATTCCAATTAGTTGGGTTTTTTGCGCACCTTGTAGCACAGATAAACAAAAAAATATCGGTGGCCTGCGCTTGCTTCGTCTACTGCAGTTTAAGCACTTCGATTTTCTTATTGCATTTTTTGTTAACACTTTTATGCTTATTGTAAACTTCACATTCGTAGTAGCTGGTGCATATTATTCCCAGTACATAAAAGATATAACATGCGTTGTTTTAAAAATTATTAGAATATTAGAAGCACGACGATGTAACGGGAATGTGATAGTGTTCTTCTTGTCACGAAATTGACCAAATAATACAATAAGTGTCACGATGCGGTGAAATCAGGCGCTCGTCAATTTTGGGCTTGTGGAATCATTGGTATCATCTTAAAGCTTGTTCATTTGGCTTGCATTTGATGGAAATCATCGCATCTACCTTGAATAGAAGTCTAGATATTTGCGATTGAATAGGAAGAGGGACGCTTGATTTCAGGAGTAAATTAGCGAGAAAATAGCCACCAAAGTTTGGTGAATTCCAAATTGTTATGGTGCTTGGAAACTGCAAATTTACATATTTGTGTGCCTCACGCCAACGTTTTTCAGTGACGTCCACAGAAATTAAATGTATGCTCACGTAAATAAGAAAGTATGCTAGCTACAGCTTAATTAATCGCTGAAGGTCAGCAGTCGCCAAATTTTGCACAGACGATGGCGTAAGTTGTTTCCATTAGTTGCTGGAGTTCTAACCAAAAATTCTGTCAAGGGAGATAACTCTATGGTTTTACATTCATCCAACTGCCTTAAAAAGCGGCTATTTGTACACATAATGATATTTAAAATTTGATTGAATGATTCACTTCCTTCAAGTCTGTTTGTGTCGAAAAACACAAAATACAACGATTTTTCTGCGTTTTAAAATATGCCACGTCTACCGGAAAATGATAGATGGCGAGTGTTAGGAATGCCCCAGACTGAAATTACACAGAGAGATGTGGTTCTACGGCTGAGCTTATACACAAACAGCACTGGACGTTTGTGGCCACTTGTTGGGGCGTCTAAAACGACGAATGATAAACCTAGAAGTGGTAAGCCTCGGATCACAATGCAGAGACAAGACCGATACGTTCACCACGTTCATCTCCAGAACGGATTGCGTCCTACATCTCTGCGGCACGTCAAGTTCCTGAATAGATACCAATGTAAGCGAGAACTGACCAGCCCCGAACATTAGATGAACTTGAGCAAGAGCTAAAAACAATCTAGCAGCAGACTCTCTCAACATTTTATCTAACAACATATCTTTTCCATGCGCTGACGGTGTCAGTCATCAGTGTGGCAAGTGGTCACACGCTGTACTGATTTTGTGAATTTAGAAATTGAGGTTTCAACTTGTGATGGATATTTTTGTGCAAAAATGAACTCTTCAATGAAAATTATTTATCCTTATGACTTCGTCTTTGACGTGTGGTTTGCTAGTAAAATATTTGATTTCTATGCACTCTTTAACTCGGAGTATGTTTTTAAATTAATCTGAAATGTTTTACGTAAAAAAACCACAAAGAATTCGATAAAAAGTGCCAAACAGGCAGGAAAATGCTAGTTTCCACGGTTGCATTATTTTGACGAGCGCTTGATTTCACTACGATGCCTCACATGTTCAAGAAAGGATTCCAATGATTTTAATATTGGGAAAAGTTGTGAGAACTGATGTATGTGTGTTTGTGAGTGTGTGTGTGTGTGTGTGTGTGTGTGTGTGTGTGTGTGTGTGTGTGTGTGTGTGTGTGTGTATGCTGGCGCTCGCGACCGCGCGTTTGCGCGAGTTTTGTGCATGTGTTTACATTTCTGTTTGCTTGTGTGTATGCGTGTGCGTGTTTGTGTCCTTGAATGTGAGTGTTTATATGTGTATGCGTATGTTTTTGCTTGTGTATGTGTGTGAGTGTGTTGTTTGTAAGTCTGTTTGTGTGTGTGCGTGTTTTTGTGTGTGTATTCGTATGTGTTTTTGTGTTGAAGAATGGTAATGACTGGACGTCTATTTATTTCGTCTATAGATCAAATCTTTTCATGATTTTCGCAAAGTATGGGACCTTTTGCCAATTAAAGAGTTAATTCACTGTCCATGTCGATGAAATTCAATTAAGATACTTTTCTAAATTATGACAGAAGCTTTTGTGAAATGCAATACAATTAGTCAATTGTATATTGATTAGCTGGGTAAGGAAGAAACACCTTGTAACGTAACAGACATAATTCGTATATGTGGTAAAATTAAGCGTGAGTTGATTTACTTTTAATAGTATGATTTGTGCTGGAGTCTGGATTGGTCCCTTACAAGCACGAACGAAACAACCTACCCCCTCCCCCCCAAACCCCCCCAACCCCCCCCCCCCCCCCCACACACACACATAATATCATATAAAGTGTGTTGCAGAGGGCATGAAACGTGAACAATAAAAATAATTTAACATTGTTCGCCAAAAGAACAAGTAATGTTGTGATAGCAGTACAGTACAAGCAGATCTATTTCGTTACGCTCATAAGATAATTGCTTTAGTCAGTTTTGGGTTGTTTGGTATTTTTGGTTCTGAATTGAAGAGAAGAGCTAGCTTGATAATAATATAGTTCACTTTGACAAAAGAGTAATCCAAATATAAAACCAACTGAGCGTTTCTCAGAGTCAATTGTTCCAAAGAAACATTTTTTTTCTCTTTTTCTCAAAATGGCTAAAAGTGACTTAGGTATTTATCTTGTGAGCGTGACAATTTCTAAAATAATACTCCACAGAGTTTAGCTTCTAGTCATAACACTCAGCTTGCTACACTCTGCAGAGCTGAAAATGCAAGGTGGAAGCAAAAGTATGTGCAGCACCGTGTTGGAATAATTTTTACTTTTTGTATGTGGCAAGTTCGATTTTTCAATGCTGTAGAATCAGTATGATGTTTGACTTAAAACATTTTTAAAGGAACGTTCGCACCATTAATAATATATATAATATTATAATATAATTGTTACAATTTTAAGACCTTCCTTGTGGCAAGGAGATACTGTGCTCCCCTTGCATTCCACAGATACCGACTTCTATTCCAGTTCGAGACGGCATATTACCCAATTCTCTTTCCGTCTTCTTCCTGTTTAATTTCTCATGCTGTTTTTTTTTCTCTACTATTTCCTCCTTTCTTTCTAAAACTCCCTTTTTTCCTTCACATCCCTGATCTTTAGGTGGGTAAGATTAAATTCCTACATATCTTAGATCAGGATGAATAGTCTTGGAGGTCCTCCTTGCGAACTGCGCCCATTTGGAAAAAAAGGGATTTAAAAAAGTACCAGAAGAACATTCCTATCCCATCTTTTCGATTCCAAACGTATTGATCTTGTTTCACCTTTGAAATGTAATTTTAAAGAAATAACGAACTGATACGTAGCTTTTTAAGAATTATTTATTTATTTATTTATTTTATGGAGGCAGGGGTGGAAAGGGTGGTGGTGGTGGTGGTGGTGGAAGAACGGGAAAGAGAAAAGGGGATTACAGGCAAGAAAATGTTCAAAATTCGCAAACGTCACTTCTACAGTATTGTCTCTCTGGTATTTGGACTTTTGTGTCGCTTCATGTCTTTCTAATCAAACCTGAACATGTCCACAATGCTGTCAAAATGTTACATTTCTCTTTTGAGAGACCTAAAGCTTTTTCTTTCTGATTCAAATCTGACTATCTTGCCCCAATTACAGTTACATTATTATTGACAACTTAGCATTACCATTATCATAAATACTCTTCCATTTACATTATATTCCATACCTCAGTATAATGGTCACCCTATTAATACTCGATGTCTTTACTTTTTTGTCTGCCTAGGACATTACATAAAGGGTGCCTCATATTTTTTCTTTATTAAGTGTTTAACAAGCTGATACGTTTGTAGAAAACAATTTTGAAAATGTCTTTTTTCATTTTTTGTACTGAGTAGCACCTTGCTTTGCGTTCATTTCCTCTTTGATTCCTGGGGAAGGGGGTGGGGGTTTATTGTAATCCATTCTTAACTTTACAGGTAACACACCTTGAAACAGAAAGCACATTATGCTGGCAAGGTTGCTGGTAATCTTTACTACTACTAGATCTACTACTACTACTACTACTACTACTACTACTACTACTACTACTACTACTACTACTACTACTACTACCACTACTACTACTACTACTACTACCACTGCTACTACTACTACTGGGTTTTTTTATCCAAATAATCACCAGCCAAATTCAATTGACCCAATGTTTTGGGGACTCGCAAAGTTATCGTCCAAACATGTCCTGCTGCCTTTTTTGGAGTCAGAGAAGTATTTATCTCCGTGCTCCCTGTACACAAACACGGACGGGTGGACAATGGATTTCTCTCAGACTAAAATGTAAAGAAAGATAAAGTTGGACCCTTTTTTCGTACACGTTACTTTGCTAAGTATGCCACCAGCTAGATGAGCTTGAATATATTTTAGATTTGCCTACTTAAGAATGTTTCTTTGATTGATGTTCATTTTTACGCTCTCGACACTGAAATAAAAATGTAAATAATCTGACGGAAAGTCTTAAGTTGTGGCTGTGTTTTGTTTCTTGATTCGTTTTAAATAAACTGATCGCTTTAAACAAACTTTGTCGGATTTTTTTTTTTTTTAATGAATCGGGTTCTTTAAATTCAGCTAGAATCATTTTAATTTCTATTTATTGAACCAATAAGACCATGGGAGAAAACCACACACAACATACCAGACACTATAAATGTTTTACTTTTGTCTTGTCAAGTCACATTTTGAGGGGGAAGGGGGGGGGGGCAGTGACAATGACAATGACAATCTTTATTCATCTCGCAGGGAGAAATTTATCTTCGTCGTTTACAATGGAAGTAGATGTTAGAAAGCTTAGGTGCACT